GGGAACATAAGATATGGGGGGGGGGGGGTTTGGAAGCAGGGGGATAGAAACTGCAGCTGTTGCCAGAGGGGGAAGGGTGCCAGATAAAGGGTTTGCAGTTAGAAAATGAAGGGCCAGGATTGGGGTAAATGTCCCCAGAGATTAGGAGTATAAGAAGGGCGAGGAAAGCAAGATGGGAGTGGGATGTACAATATAGGAGCACACATATTTCACTGCCCTGGTGTTTTTGTCAGCAAGTGGGTTCAGTATTTGCAAGAGGTGATGGGTGCAGTAAAAAGCGAGAGGGTAGGAGTTAGGGCAATATGCATAAGTTGTGGGTAGGAAAAGAGAGGGGTAAAGACAATTTGAGGACAGAGAAACTAATGTGGGAAGGAAGAGTAGAGGTAGCATATTAGTGAGAGTGGAGCAGAGTTTCTTGTTGCATCTTCAGGAAGCTTTAGTTATCCTGCTTTTTACTGCAGCGTTGAAACTGTAACAACACTCATTAAAGAAACACTCAGGAAAGAAACATGGTGTACTACGTCAAAAAGGAGGTAAGAATCAAATCAAGTATATTGACAGTTGCACACAGCCATTTACCATATAGCAAAGCAGTGTCAATTAGCAGTCATTCATGGCATGGAGATAGTACAGATGGATAAGTACAGATGGAAAGTGCTCGCAGACATTTACCATATAGCAAAGCAGTGTCAATTAGCAGTCATATATGGCAGGGTTAAAAATTTCAAGTCCAGGCCTTAAGAGCTACTCGCCACCAGTTGCCCCACCCATCCCCTACCCCACCACAAAACACGCCCTTGTAAATAATCTCATGAAATTACACTGTTAAATGTTTATACAGAATAAAGTTATAAGAATACATATTAAACTCCCATCAGGTGTCCTCCTTTACATTGTGTCCCATCAGAGTCCCCCTTTACATCAGGTGTACCATCAAAGTCCCCCATTACATTAAGTGTCCCATTGCAGTCCCCCTTTACATTAGGCGTCCCACTGCAGTCCCCCTTTACATTAGGTGTCCCACCGCAGTCCCCCTTTACATTAGGTGTCCCACCGCAGTCCCCCTTTACATTAGGTGTCCCACCGCAGTCCCCCTTTACATTAGGTGTCCCACCGCAGTCCCCCTTTACATTAGGTGTCCCACCGCAGTCCCCCCTTTACATTAGGTGTCCCACCGCAGTCCCCCTTTACATTAGGTGTCCCACCGCAGTCCCCCTTTACATTAGGTGTCCCACCGCAGTCCCCCTTTACATTAGGTGTCCCACCGCAGTCCCCCTTTACATTAGGTGTCCCACCGCAGTCCCCCTTTACATTAGGTGTCCCACCGCAGTCCCCCTTTACATTAGGTGTCCCACCGCAGTCCCCCTTTACATTAGGTGTCCCACCGCAGTCCCCCTTTACATTAGGTGTCCCACCGCAGTCCCCCTTTACATTAGGTGTCCCACCGCAGTCCCCCTTTACATTAGGTGTCCCACCGCAGTCCCCCTTTACATTAGGTGTCCCACCGCAGTCCCCCTTACATTAGGTGTCCCACCGCAGTCCCCCTTTACATTAGGTGTCCCACCGCAGTCCCCCTTTACATTAGGTGTCCCACCGCAGTCCCCCTTTACATTAGGTGTCCCACTGCAGTCCCCCTTTACATTAGGTGTCCCACTGCAGTCCCCGTTTACTCAGATGTTCCCACATGGGACCAACTACTACTACTCAAAACTAAACTCTTTTGGCTGCACTCATGAACGCTATTGCTGGAGGACAAAAGAGGAGAAGGGGAGGAAAAGATATTTGGAAGGAAGAAAAGAGAGGGAGGAAGGAAGAAAAGAGAGGGAAGGAAGAAGAAAAGGAGGGAGGGAGGGAGGGAAGAACATAGAAAGGAACGAAGGAAGGGAGGGAAGGAACATAGGAGGGAAGGAAGGGAAAGAAGGAAGGGTAGGAAGTCAGGGAGGGAGGAAAGAGGAAGGAGGAGATGATGGAGGTAGGAAGGAAAGGAGGGGAGGGAGAGGAGGAAGGAAGGAAAGGAGGGAAGGAACAAAATAAAGGGAAGGAGGGGAGGGGGATTGAAGGGAAGGTAGGAAGGGAGGGAGGGAGGAAGGATAGAAGGAAGGGGAGAAAGGAAAGAAAGAAGGAAAGGAGGGAAGGGAAGGTAGGAAGGCGAGAAGGAAGAAAGGAGGGGAGGGGAGGAAGGAAATAAAGGGAAGGAGGGGAGGGGGACAGGGCTTGAAGGAAAGGATGGAAGGAAGGATAGAAGGAAGGGGAGGAAGGAAAGGAGGGGAGGGGGAGGGAAGGAAGGAAAAGAGGGGAGGGGGAGGGAAGGAAGGAAAGGAGGGGAGGGAAGGAAGGAAAGGAGGGGAGAGGGAGGGAAGGAAGGAAAGGAGGGGAGGGGGAGGGAAGGAAGGAAAGGAGGGGAGGGGGAGGGAAGGAAAGGAAAGAAGGAGGGGAGGGGGAGGGAAGGAAGGAAAGAGGGGAGGGGGAGGGAAGGAAGGAAAGAGGGGAGGGAAGGAAGGAAAGAGGGAAGGTAGGAAGGAAGGTAAGTAGGGGAGGAAGGAAGGTAAGTAGGGGAGGAAGGAAGGTAGGGAAGGAAGAAATAAAGGAAGGAGGAGGGTAGGAAGGAAAGAGGGAAGGTAGGAACGAGGGAAGGAAGGTAAGGAGGGGAGGAAGGAAAAAGTAAAAGGGAGGGGAGGAAGGAAGGAAGGAAAGAAAGGGAAGGTAGGAAGGAGGGAGGGAAGGTAAGTAGGGGAGGAAGGAAGAAGTAAAGGAATGAAGGAAGGTAGGAAGGATAGAGAGAAGGGAGGAAGGAAGGGAGGGGAGGAAGGAAGGAAAGAAAGAGAAGAAGGGAATGGGGAGGGGAGGGGGGGAAGGGGAGGGAGGAAGGAGGGGAGGGGGGAAGGAGGGGAGGGGGGAAGGAGGAGAAGGAGGAGAGGGAGGGGAGGAGAGGGAGGGGGGGGAGGAGAGGAGAGGGAGGGGGGGAGGAGAGGAGAGGGAGGGGAGGGAGGGAGGGGAGGAGGAGGGAGGGGAGGGAGAGGGAGGGAGGGAGGGAGGGAGGGAGGGAGGGAGAGGGAGGGGAGGAGAGGGGGGAGGGGGGAGGAGGGAGGGAGGGAGGGAGGACGGGAGGGAGGAGGGAGGGAGGGGGGCCGGGAGGGAGGGAGGGAAGGGAGGAGATGGAGGGTGGGGGGGAGGAGAGGAGGGAGGGGGGGAGGAGGGAAGGAGGGGGGGAGGAGGGAAGGAGGGGGGGGGGGGGAGGAGGGAAGGGAAGGGGGGGGGGAGGGGAGGGGAGGGAGGGAGGGAAGGAGGGAGGGGGGGGGAGGGAGGGGGGAAGCAGGGAGGGAGAAAAAAGGGGGGGGGGGAAGGAAAGGAAGCAAGGTGAGAGGAAGGAAGAAACGTAGGAAGGGAGGGGAGGAAGGGAGGGCAGAAGGAGGGGATGGAGGTAGGGAGGAAGGAAGGGGGGGAGGGAGGGAAGGAAGGAAGGAAGAAAGGAAAGAGGGAAGGTAGGAAGGAAGGGAAGGAAGGAAAGAAGGGGAAGGAAAGAAAGGGAAGGAAGGAGAAGGTCAGAAAGGGAAAGAGGGGGATGGGGAGGGAAGGGGAGAGGAAAAAAAGGAAGGAAGGAAGGAGGGAGGGAAGGATTCACATGACTCTGTTGGCTGCTCTGTATACAATTTCCCACCAACACATCCTCTTCTGAGAAGCTGCACAGACTGGAGTGTGGGCAGGCACAGGGGGAGGCGGAGCAGATCCAGCCTCTCTCTCTCCTATTGGTGTGGAGGATCGGGGGAAGGGTTGGGCAGAGAGTAGCACAGAGGAGGGTACCCAGAAAGAGAAATCCAATTGACAGTTGGGGATGATCACTACAGCGGTGGGGACCAGCTACAAGCACAGATCTCCCTGTATGGATTTCAAATGAAGCAGCTGGAAGATGCATCTCCTCCTCCTCTCCCTCCCGTGACTTTCAGCTGCTTCACTGTGCTTGTAGCTGTCCCCACCACTGCAGCAATCATCCCCAACTGTCAATGTCACCTTGTAAGGGATTTCCGGCAAGACGAATCGTGAACGGAAATGCGCGATCGCGCACGGCGAAGATTGGCGCCAGACGGCCTATTTAAGGAGTGTCTCTGCTCATGTTCAGTGCTGACTGGTCTTCAGCTCCCCCGTGTCCTGCTTGTTACTATGTGATTCCTTTGTTGCTGACCCGGCTTGTTCCTCACCTGACTCTGATTACTCTCCTGATTTTGCTGGTTCCTGACTTCGGCTCTGCTCCTGACCTTGCTGCCCGACTGTTGATGACCCTGGCTATTCCATGACACTGCTCCTCTCTCTTGCCCTCAATACCTGCCTTGCTCTGGTGCAAGCCTGGCAATCTACAAGACCTGCTCTGCTTGTTACTACTGTGCCAGAATCAGAGGATCATCAGTCTTCCAATCATCCTCTGCAAGAGCTGCAAACAACAACTACTGGCGCTCTTGGTCCCCTGGGTCCTAGACTCCCTCTGTTCCAACTCCAGTGGGGTCAGGGCTTGTGACAAAAGTGAGGCCGACCTTGTCATTTCAGTCTCCCATCAGGTACGTGACACACCTGCTGCAGTCTAGACACACTCGCCACCACATTACCACTCGCAAACAGACAAGTGGAAATTTAGAGCCCTGATATATGACATGGAGATAGTACAGATGGATATTGCTCGCAGACATTTACCTGCGAAAGAGCAAAGAAGATATGATGAGGTGGTGATATAGGAAGTGTTGAAACTGTGACAACACTTGTTAACTAGTAGCCGACCGCAGATAGCGGAATGACGGCTGCACTGCGGCCGGCCAGTTCTGGGTGGACGTCATATGACGTCCCACCAGAACGCGCTCTCCTGCGCGCCCCAGGGGGCGCGCACCTGGCGATCTCCATGATCGCTGTGTCCTACGGACACAGCTGATCACGTGATGTGGTAAAAGGCCAATCACAGCGGCCTTTTACCACCTGATCAGCGGTGTCCAATGACACGCTGATCAGAGGGAAATGCAAGTGCCGGTTCTCGGCTGCACTTTCCTCACGCTGTCAGATCGTGAGGAAAGTACTGCCGAGAACCGGCAGTTGTCAGAGCGAGGATCGGCAACGATCATCAGGGCACTGATGATCAGTGCCCTGATGATCGCCCAGCAGTGCCACCCGCAAGTTCCGCCCACCTGTGCCCAGCAGTGCTCCGACTAACTCCGCCCACCTGTGCCCAGCAGATCACCCACCTGTGCCCAGCAGTGCATCCACCTGTGCCACTCTGCAGTGTCACACACCTGTGCCCAGAAGTGCCACCTACCTGTGCCCAGCAGTGTCACCCACCTGTGCCCACCAGTGCCACCCACCTGTGCCCACCAGTGCCACCCACCTGTGCCCACCCACCAGTGCTGCCCACCAGTGCCACCCACCAGTGCAGCCCAGCAGTGCTGCCAGTCAGTGCCACCAGTCAGTGCCCAGCGGTTGTGCCAGTCAGTGCCGCCAGTCAGTGCCCAGCAGTGATGCCAGTCAGTGCCGTCTATCAGTACCCATCATCAGTGTCACCTATCAGTGCCGCCTATCAGTGCTGCATATTAGTGCCGCCTATCCGTGCCACCTCATTAGTACTGCCTATCAGTGCCCTTTAGTGCTGCCTATCAGTGCCCATCAGTGCCGCCTATCAGTGCCCATCAGTGCTGCCTCATCAACGCACATCAGTGAAGGAGAAAAATTACCTGTTTGAAAAATTTTATAATAGAAACAAAGAAACTTTTTTTTTTTTCAAATTTTTTGCAACTTTTTTATTTATAGCGCAAAAAGTAAAGCGCCCAGTGGCGATTAAATACCACCAAAAGAAAGCTCTATTTGTGAGAAAAAAATGATCACAATTTCATATGGGTACAATGTTGCATGACCACGCAATTGTCAATCAAAGTGCGGCAGCGCTGAAAGCTGAAAATTGGCCTGGTAAATAAGGGGGTATAAGTGCCTGGTAGGCAAGTGGTTAAAGAAACGCACAGGAAAGAAACATGGTGTCCGCGACTAACCCGTCTGTGACTTTCCCAGAAGCCACATCAGTTGCATCTTACAGGATTCATGTTTTAATGTTTTTTTCTACAAGGCCCAAGATTTGTTCAGTAAGTGTGTTCAAACCTGTTATGATGGGTTTGCCTGGCTTTCTGGGTTTGTGGATCTTGGGCAGCATGTAGAAGTCTCCAATTTGTGGATTATCCGGTATCACACTGATAAGCTCTGAATGTAGGTGGGTTGGTGTTTTAATGAGACCTTTTAATTGCTTAATGTAACGGAACTGGCCCCAGACTGCGCTTGGGTACTTCCGTTATAATACCGCTTCCCTGTCCGAACACCGACCACAGACACCACAGCTGACCAAACAAGACTAGACGACACCAATCTGTCTGAACATGGAACTCTTTTATTTGAAACTCGAACTGGCTTTTTATACACTCAGGGAAAAATTCTCCCTCCCTGCATAAGGACACAGGGCGGGGCAATCTACACTTAGCAACAAGAGACACACAGGTATTCAAACTGCACAACAACAGACAGTCCCATCAGGAGGGAGGGCTGCTGGAAACACCCCCCCCCCCAAACTAATACATAAACACATACATCCCATAATAGTTTGCTCCCAAGCAAGACACACAATAGAACAATCAACAACCCCAATATTAGGACAGATTACCCTGTACCTCTAACAGGCACAGGGTGACTTACACGTCAGAGGGATATGGGGAGCTGAGACAGGGGTCTCCCCACCCAAACTGACTCCTGTCACATATCTCCCCTTTCGGCAGGAGACTAACACAGGAGGAGACCCCAGATGGGTGGACTCCAAAGTTAGTCTGTATTTCCAGTCTCCCAATGCCAGCACCCACACACTTCCCCCAAAAAATGGTCCCACAAAAAGCATTATTCACCCAGCCAACCTCTGCCTCTCTCGTAGAACATCTCCCTCCGCTGGGGAGAAGTACGGACTGGTCCTTCTCCCTGAAGTCCTCTTAGCCGCTGGAGAGAAGACAGGGTGGCTGGGCCAACTCCATCATGCTGTGGAGGATCTGGGCCAACTGCCTAGCATCCCTGGGGTATCCAGGTGGTGACTGTAGTTGCTAGGCAGAGGTCAGCTGCGCTCTGTCCTGTTACCAGCACTTCTGCTGGGGACCCCACATCTGCTCCGGCTAACACTGGGGGAGGGAGGCCGGCTTCCTCCACTCCCAGACTGTGGATTTGCTGCTGGGATGACATTCCTCTGTCACTGTCACCCTGGTGCACAGATCCTGGCTTGGAAGGGAAGACAGTTTCCTCCACTCTAGCTGACTGCGGGGGAGGGAGGACAACAACCTCCTCTCCCTTCTCCCCCTGGGCCTCTGAAACTACTGCAGGTATGTGGCAGAGGTCCTGGACCCTCTGTCCAGCTGGAGAAGTTTCTTTTACCTCCAAAGATGCTGCTGGCAGGAAATCCCATGACCCTGTCAGTGGTGTAGGAGAAAGGTTGGCTGCCTCTTCTCCCAGGGAGACTGAAGTTGTTGTTGGCACTGAGTAGAGCTCAGCAATGTTTGGCCCTGTTGCCACCTCTTCTGCTGGAGGCTCACCAGGTTGTTTTTCCTCAGCAGAGAAGTCCATCAAATCCCCAGTCTCTGGAATCGCTAAATGTCCAGGGCATGGGCTGGTGGCCCTTGGGCCCAGTTCCAGCACTTTGGCATGTGACTCATCACCCATAACATCCTCCAGTGAAATATCCATTAGATCCATACATTTTGGGATCTGTAATTGGAGGGATGAGCCGACTTCTCCAACTTCCATACCCTCATCCAGCTGTTGGACAGACGCATTCCTCCATCCAAGCTCGTCCCCTGCAGAAACAGGAAAATCCCCCCTCCCTGCATAAGGACACAGGGCAGGGCAATCTACACTTAGCAACAAGAGACACACAAATAAAATAAAATAAAAGGCAAAGTCCCTAGACTTTCTGCTCTCTAGTTCCCATTTAACCTCCTATGCTCGCCTCCATGAATTTTTCTGAGCTTCTCCCATCCTATGGAACTCCCTACCCCAATCTGTCAGACTATCTCCTAATCTATCCACCTTTAGATGATCCCTGAAAACCGCTCTCTTTAAAAAAGCCTATCCTGCTTCTAACTAGTAAACTGCTTTTTATTTCCTCCATCAGTTCATCCTCCACAGCTATTATCTTTTTGTATCACTCAACCCCTCCTCTTAGATTGTAAGCTCTAACGAGCAGAGCCCTCTGTTTCCTCTTGTGCCAAATTGTATTATAACTGTAATGTCTACCTTCATTTTGTAAAGTGCTGCAAAAACTCTTGGCGCTATATAAATCCTGTATAATAATGTGTAGGTGTGGGCAGCTTTCACTGGAGTAGAAGAACAAGGTAATATACAGTTGATAGAGGGTGTGCAATTTATTGTGTATAGGGCTGCACACAAGGTTTGACTCTACCATTTGGGTCATGTGGTAAAGAGCTCTTTACCATGATCACTGATGCGCTGTGTCTGAGGGATACAGCTCACCACCGAATACCATGCAGCACACGAGCGACAAGTCTGGGAAGACGTTCTATGATGTCCTCCCAAAAGGGCAAATGTCCTGTCCAGCCTACAGTCAAATGACTGGTTAAGATATTACTTTACCATCAAATTGATTTTGTAAAACATTCTCCTTCCTTATCTGATTACAAAATTACTCCTGGTTCCGGTAGTCCTAAGGTCTTGGTGGCTCCCTGTTGCCAGCTATTCACTCTGTGTCCGCTGTCATTCCATTGCCAGTAATCTACATTTTTATCCACTGGTTTAAAACCTGGTTCTTCCAACCCCTGGGTGACTAAAGAAAGGGTGTAAAGTACCCACATTTGTGCCCTCCCATTACTTTCTCCCAGGGCTTGCCCTGAAAGTTGTGGATGGCCGGAGACATCACCGTTGGTCAGTGATTCTGGTGGATCCAGCTTCATAGTGTATTAGTGGCTCCTTCATAGAGGCTGCAGACTTTCCATCAGTTTACACTGTTATGCCCTCCATGTTCAAGCTGCACTACTTCTGCCTTAATGTAAGTGTGGATATGTTTTCTCAATAAATGTTACAAAGTTTTCACTAATTTCCTGTGCTCTGGCAACTTTGTTTCTTCTGCATGTTACTGGAGCCCATGCCTTGTCGGGTCAGAACAAAAAAAAATAATATATTGTAGCTTACTAGTATTAGGTTTGTCGGCTGCATTGGTTATATTTTTTTTCAGGCTTGTTTCCCTTCATTTTCACCTGATGATTTTTGCAGTAACACTTTTTGTTCTTGGACAATAACACTCACTTACAGCACTGTATCTCTGGGGAAGCAACACTGTCACCCTAGGACAGGACTACAGAAACCTCCCCCCCCCCCCTTTTTTTTAATACAAGGGATTGTTCTGTAGTCTTTATAACTTTTTCCCTCTGTTACCATAAACTATAACTGATAAGAGTGCAGAGCAGGAGAGTGCACAGGAAGTTATCAAGATTTCCGGCAGAATCAAACAGGTAAATTTTTTCACTTATTGAACAGATTTGACAGACACAATAGGACCAATTAGAGAGGTTCATTCATACAGCCAAGGAAGCTGCAGTGTTAGCCTCTATTTGAACTACAGTTGCCATGGTATTGAAACGTGATCAGTTATGACACCAGCCATGTAATGGTTTGACAGTTCAGTTTAGAGCAACAGCAAATGTGACACATTCATAGCATGCCTAACAGTAACTGCTCTGGGGAAAAAGTTAAAGTCGTTGTAAACCTTTGCATATACCCAGTGAAATCACTAACCTTAGCTTATACAGAGATGAAACAAATACTCCTGCATAAGTTGTATCTGTATACAGTATCTGCAGCCATCTATCCTGTACATAATTTTAAAGTGCACATTTAACCTGTGAGATCTCTAAGCTCTGAAAAGCAAGTAGGGGGTATCTGAACTAGCACTCTGAAGAGCTCAATGAAAGCTGAATGGAGGGAAGGGACACACCACCTGTGATTGACAGCCTCAGCTCTGTTCCTGTGTGCTTTGTAAAGCACACAGGACAAAGCACACAGGAACAGAGCTGAGGCTATCAATCACAGGCTGTGTGCTGGAACTCATTCCCCTGTCACCTTTTCATGTCTTGGTGTCAGGAAAACTTGTCAGAAGTGACTCATGCAGACAGAGGAACGAGGAAGAAGACAGAAATGTCATTTTTTAGTGCCCTGGATTGAAAGTACACACTGTAGAGTGTTTTGTTCATATTTCATGTCTCAAGTTGACAACTACTTTAAATCGGTGGGTTTAGTTCCACTTGAAAGAGTATTAAAACATTTACCAAGACAGATTCTAAATATGCTCACCTGTACAACATCACATTATAAGGTAAAAATGTAGGCAGCAATTGCTTTATAATACGAATAGGAAGCCAAAGCATGAGGAGAACAATTGACCCAAAAACGATCTGAAAGGGAAATGCAAAATGCTTAAAGTCAGTATATTATAAGTGGATTATTAAAAAAAAAA